TAATAACAAAACTCACATCATAGAAACATATGAACTAGAGAAAACATAATCATAAAACACAACTCATACCTTAAAGTAAAACACAACTCATAAACCAAGATTTTAAAATCCTTGAAGCACATACAAACAACACAACTATATATGCACAATGAAAATGCTCTAATGTACTCTATCCGGATTTAACCTTTTAAGGTCCATTCACCCCACTGTTGTAGGTGTTCACTTAGACGAGTATTTCACATTCGTCTATATTTTCTCAACCCATGCAGGGGATATTCTTAGTCTATCATTATATGTTCTCGAGAACTTTACTTGTTTACTTCAGGTAAATTAATCCTTCTGGGAGTTTCAAATATATTTAACATCTTCGGGGAATTCAAACAAATAGGCTATCACAACAATTTTCAAACATTGATTTGAAAAAGTAGTTGCACCCACCACAGGGGAGTATAACTCCTCTTAAACAATGATAGGTCTTTTCGAGAAACCCATTGCAAAACATTGTGCGATATCTCGCACAATTTCATACTTTCCAGTAGCACAAAAATTTGTTTGTATCCCGCTAGTTTTGCCCTTTTTGAGGTGCAAGGACTTCTGGTCCTTAAACTTTATGCTTCTTGAGCAAGTTTCATGATTTCTTTCTATATTGGCCAATAACATCATCATTTGCATGCATCAATAGAGTTTTACTCTTGATCCTCACTTATATATATCATATTCAGTACTGAAGTACAACAAACAAATTTTGTCGACAATGACTTCATTTCGGTTCCAGTATTGTAGTCTAATATATTTTTGAGATCTCTTCCCTTTCACAACTTTCAGAGACATGTGTTCTTCTGGAACTAAAATTATACTTAATTCTTGGTTACTCTTCTTGATTTTTCATGTCCTCGAGTTGACCATTCTAATTACAGCTCCTTTTCTTTCTCGAGGATGTTTATCATTGGAACCGATTGGTCTATCACACTTCATGCGGTCTTTCATACACATTTTTTTTATATTAGAGTATCCAACAAGGATATCAAATTTAGTTGGAGCATTCACAGCTAGTATATGTGACTTGGTCACTTCGTATGGCCAGTAAAGGCATTTGATAGTTGGTAACGATAATTCATCTTATGAACTTCAGGTTCATGTTTCTTACTTTGAGGATCAAAACTAGATAATGATAACTCATTCCAACTCATCTCTTTGTCTAGCTGTTTGTTTTCCTCTCCCCCTTAATGTTGGAAAAGTTATTCATCAAAACATTAATTTCTCAAAAAATTTCTCATTTGGGATTCATACCTAACACAAATTCTCAATTTCCAACGATAATCAACTTAAGATACTGTGGTGGAGCAATTGGGATGTATGCGGCACACCCTGATATTCTCATATGAGAAATGTTAGGTTTCTGACCAAAACCATTTGTAAAAGGGGGGAACTTATGATAACTTGTTGGTTAGATGTGAATCAATACTATCACTTGCCAGCTAGCATGTCCTCGACAAGAGATCAGAAGGCTTAGTTTGTTCTCTTAAGCAAAGTGATGTTTGATTGGATCATCATAAAAATGTATCCATAGTGAGGCAATCAATCTCGCAAACATCGGGTTGCGATTAAATAAAATAAAAGTGATCATATAAAATCTCAAGAGATTTGCCAACTCTTATACAAGCTCTGATCAATTGTTCTATTCTCCTTGAGAACAAACATGGCATAATAACTCTTTTAGTTGAAGAGTTCTTTGACTTCTCATATGATGTTCTCATGAATTCTCAAATAACTTTTTTCACATCAAGATCCGGGATGGTCTAACCGGACCAACCAATTATCAAGTTATCAAATCTTGTAAACTTCTGGTTTACACTTTTATGTGTACTGATAGTACTAATATACACGTAGTGCATATTTGTGATGCAAATATTAGTTTTACTATTTTCTTGATAAGATACTCATTTTACGAACATCCTTTTAATTGGGCAATGCATCATCACTAGGTAGTTTGGGTCCTTCAGGCCACAAAACATTAGCTCTTTTAGAGCTTTACCATATTTTGTACCATATTTCGCCCTTCCGGAGACTTATGATTTGATGCATTCTTAGTAAACACATATTCATAGTGAATATCATCACAAATTAGTATCACGAGTACATAATTTAGTTACTTCAAGTAACCAAACATAAGCTCTTCGGAAGCTTTTTCTCATTTATGTACTCTACCATATAGTTTATCTGGATTTTTTCTAACAATCATACTTTACAAAAACACACTAAAATAATAAATGAGAATATTCAAACTTAAGACAAAAATGACGAACTTATCAAGTTAATCGTTCTAGATAAAAGTTATCAAGTTAAATTATGCATGAAAATAATGGCACAATGAAACATAATAGAAAACAAGAATCATAATACTACAATTGTGAAAATTTAAATAAGCTTTATTTGGAACAATATCATCACTAACTAGGTGATTTTAAATTTATATATGCGTTCCATTATGCATTTCAATGTACAACAGGTACATTATATTATCATGACTTTGATAATGCAATTGTTATTTCATCCTTATTTATAATTCTTCTCTTTTCTCATTTCTGGTGAAAAGATCCAAACAATAAATTTAGCATATATATAATCGTGTTTATAGCTCCATTCACTTCGGGGAATAGATTGTTTCATTCACTTCTGGGAATGAAAATGTCTCAAGTGCAATATCATTTTCATCTTTAATGGAGAATATACCAACTTATAATACAAAAAATATGTTCCATAATATTGATATTGCATGAGCGTATATGAATTAGCTTTTCCCTTTGATTTTTGGTAGAATAAGGTCTTTTGCGTACAAGGGGTAATGGACAAATGCAATTTTCCATTACATTGGTAACATACAAAACCAATCTTCTTGTTACCATATCCACTTCTTTCTTTGCCCTTGGATTCTTCAATTTCCACTTCTGGGGAATATATGGGCTCTTGGAACTTGCATTTTTTACATATCAATGTATGATTGATAAGAATAGGATAACACAGAGAACTGAGAAATTAACTCATCACTTATATTATTTTTCTTGTTAATCCAAATAGATCGACGTGATAAAATATCAATGGATATGAGAAGTAGCACCCATCTTGATATATTAAAATGAGATAATCTCAACACAAATAAGACAATATGATAAGAAAGGATCTACGATTTACATACCTTGATCATATTGTGATCTTACTCCAATATCTTAGATTATGTCGAGAGTCTTTGAGGCTTGAGCAATGATAATTTTGGCAGAGCTTCGTGCTGATAACGTGTTATGAAACTAATGAAAATATAAACAACTACAAGAGAAGATTAGAGAGGAAAAGACACAAGAGAAGAGAGGGGAAGAGTTCTTCTTATTCATTCTTCACTTTTGATACAATGGTGTGCTATATTTATAGGCACACTTTGGTAACCACTACATCCTTATATCAATGCATATGAATGAGAGATAATAATGTAGAAATAGAGGTTACATGTAACTCCCAAGTGAGCATCTAATGTGGTAGGTCATTGGTCATCCATATATTAATATTTACATAATAACCCATGAATTATGAATATGCTTCATAAATTTTATAGATAGCTTCCTAATTGATATTCACTATTCAATAAAGAATAATTCTTCTTCTTCCATTGATCGCAAAAGGGCAAACGGTGTCGCCTAACAAATATGTTAAGTAGCCCCCTGAATATTCTGAACTTCTATCTTCAATTACAAAATTCTATTCTTCTCCAATTGAGCCCTTCATGTTTTTCTGCAATCCTGAAGACAATTGGATTTGCATCCTTTTCTGTTACTGCTACAATTAATGTGTGTGATGGTTCTTTATTCAAACCTTGATATTGATAAGATCGGTTAAAGGGTTTCGATAATGACAAGCTGCTTGTACAGATAATTAATTTCTTTTTAATTTTCCAATAAGTTGAATTCGTCAACTGTTGTGGTACAAGTTAGACTTTCACAACTTTATCATAGGTGGATAAGTTGGAATTTGTTACTTCTGGTTAATTATGTGAAGGGGCCGTTTGGAGGTTGTGATTCTTCAAATTGATGTATTGAGTCAATTAGTGTATTATCATTTGATGTATTGAATCTGATGAACCCCGTATTTCACCATCTACCATAGGGCTGGAAAGCGGTGCGGTCTGGTCCAGACCAGACAATATATACGGTTTATGGTCCAGACCGAGAGACTGAAGTATAGACCACTGATGCTCTAAAACACAACACCAATCTGCGACCAAGTGTAATCACAGACTGGGAATGCAGTAAAGTGACAAGTGATATTATCAACCCGGGGTCTAGATCTACTGCTTACTCAGTGATTATCTATTATCTAGCCAACTAAAGTAAGTGATTGTTGTTTTAAAAGCAAAAGCAGAAAGAAAGCAGGAATTGGTGCGGTTTTCTCAAGCAGGTAAGAGTCACTCGGGAATGAGTCCCCCTAGCTCCTTAGTTAGGTTTCAATTGTATTTCCCTGGGTTGATTTACTGTTGATTAGACTGCGGAAGATCCGACAGTAGCTTGGAATCTCTTAAGCTGACCAAGCCCTCTCAGTCTAACTACCCGGCAGACGACTAGTCTTCACCGGGATAGAAAGCTGAAGCAGTAAGAACAGAACTCCACTACTGGAATTGGATTCCAGTACAAAGCAGTAAACTGGCTAACTCTCGTATAGCCAATCTCCTACTACCGAATGATGAGACTCTAGCAACCTAATCAGATTCTATCTATCTCAGATTGCAGCAGGAATCAGGAAAAGTTGATCAGACTTCAATTGACTCAATAAACATGCATCATTCGATTAAAATCAAACAGTAATATCATCCCAAGTCATTACAATAAATCCCTAACACATAGAACTAGGGTTCTTCATCCCCAAGTGAGAGAGGGGTTCTACTCCATAGAGAGAGAGAGAGAGAGGAAAACAAGATACAAAGCAGTCATACTCATAATTATGGGAAGAATCTGCTATGGGATGATGATTTCCACTCCTATGACGATCTCCAAGCTTGATTTGATGAAACCCAGCTCCAAGATAGCTTCTAGGATGTGTTCTTCGTCCTTTCTCTCTCTAGGGCTCTGTTTTTGCTCAAGAAATCCGATTCTCCTTCCTTGGCTCGAATCTGCCTTCAAAAAGGGCATCAGTGGCCAAAGCACGATCGAGGGCACGACCGTGTAATGGCTCAGCCCGCCCGTGCTTTGGCTAGGGTTAATTACACGGCCACTGTGTTGGGAGAAACACAGCCGTGCTTTTGGGAGGACACGGTCGTGCTTTGGGTGGACACGGTCGTGCTTTGTCTCGGCCCTGCCCATGCAATCAGCTCATGTTTGCCTAACTCGAATTAGCTCTTGGCAGTAAAAGCACGGCCACAGAACACGGCCGTGTTCTGTTTTAGGTGTGCCCGTGTTTTGGCCCCAGCTCGACGAAATGACTTCCGAATGTCCTGAAACTCGTGCTTAGCCTTTCCTTTGACGCCTGGGACCCGAAATATGACAAAATAGCACAACTCGGCGTAAAATAGGCCAAAAATACACGACTATGCCCCTCAAACGGATAAGAAGTATGGGCGCAAATATGTGCAATTACATCGTTATCAAATTCCCCCACACTTAACCGTTTGCTTGTCCCCAAGCAAACCAAGTCAGACACAAGGTAAGCTCAAAACAACAAGGCATGACATATCGGCACAAAACACGTGGATCATACTGGCCTTCGATCAGTAACACATGGACAACCTCAATGACAACCTAGACAACCACCACAGATGACATTCGAATGCAGTAGAATCGAACAAAGGAAGAGGCTCCCTTCTGTTCACCAACCAACATAGACTTGACTCAACCACTTGTTCAAAACAGTCACATCATGCACAAAGTTCAAGATATCAGAATTAAGACCGAGCAATCTAGGTCCTCACCGGGATAAAGAGTATAGAGAATAAGAGAAAATGAATTGCTCACTCTCGACCAGTGGGGTCAGGACAATATGATGCGAAAAATGCGCATGCTTAATCTCTCAATCCCTAACATCTCTTCATCATGAATGCAGCCTCTAAGTGCTAGAGTTCACATATGGGGTGTCATCACTAACCAATCCGGAGGTCTTAGACACAGGTTCAGATGACTGGCTAGGGTCTTGGACATGGGGAAAAGGCCTTTTAGGTGGTGGAAGTATTCATACAGCACAAGGTTCCACATTTCCAAACCCAACAGACTCACAATCAATCCAATCAAACTTTCTTTCTGCTATTCTGCATTACTCAAGTTCAGAGAACAAGAGCGAAGGAGGTTACATAAATGCTAGTATTTCTAAGCCAGACTGCTAAGAAACACTACTACATGGGCATTATTCAGATTTTTGGTGGTGGCTCTCTTTTGCTTTCAATTTTGCTTTGTTTTTTCTTTCATTTTCTTTTCATTTCTTAAGAGAGCCACCACTTCTGCACATATTTCAAACACATGCCCTACTTTTAAGCACTACCTCCAACCCTCACATTACATTTAGCAGAAATAGCAGAGAACATGTAAAAATCACTCTGTGGAACCTTCTAAAAGATGCAAAAGGGTGACTTTTCATTGAAGACCAAAAGAAAGGAAAACACAAGGCTCAAAAGGGCTGACTAGGGGATATGACACATCAGGACAGTCAAATTTGGTCGTTGGCTAATCCTATGCCTCCATCATCTTAGCTAATGACAACGTGAATGCTACACATCATGGAAGAGGAAACTATCGCACAAGAAAGAAACGAGCAGGCTCAAATCTCACATGGCTACCAATATGCTCTATCTCACATTCTGATACCCTGAACTAGATGCATACATGACTGTCAAAAGCAAGTGATCAAACCAAGTCACATTTGGTGAGCAGACAGTTGAAAAACTGAACCCCTACACAATTCTACTGCACATCTCAGTCATCACAATAAGTTGTCTAAGTCACACGCAAGTTGTCATGTATCAAGTCAAAAGCCATTCAATTCACTAATCAAATCCACAGTGCCAATACGATCAATCATCAAGCAAACAGCCGCGCTTGGAGCCCTCAAATCTCAAGATTTGGACAGTGGACTAGGCTCCAAGCACACATATATACGTTCCAATTCATACAAAGAACCCCCCACACTTAAACGCGACAATGTCCTCAATGGAGCAGAGGGAAGGGGAACGATGTTACCGTGAAACAGTGGTCAGGAACGTTGACTGGAAGGCGGACCAGTCAAAAGAAGGGGGCACAGAGCTAGAGACAACAAAAACACACACACTGGGTGATAGGAATCAGAGTACCAAGTCTACAATCCAAGATAAAAAAACAAAACAAAACAAAATCACAAAACACGGAGTCTCAGTCTGGAACACAAATAAAGCACAAAACCCGCTCTAGAAGGCATCACCGCCATCGCCGGTGGGTGGAGGGTACTCATCCTCAAACCCTGGGGACTGCACGAACGGGTAGTGGACCGCGTTCGGGTCCAAGCCCAAGTAGGACATGATGTAGTGCTGCCCCGACATGAGACGACGCCCTCGGTCCCGCTCACGATCAAGGCGGGTGTGGATGCGCTCCTGGCCGGCCAGGATGCGCTCATTCTGCTGCGTGATCGCCGCCAACTGGTCGGAGATGGGCACCACCACTGGAGGAGGTGACCCTGGAGAAGGAGACCGCGGAGCAGGAGAGGGGCTCGCGGGAGCCTAGGCACGACGGGGAACTCGGCGCCCACCAGCGGCGCTCGACTCGGCCTGGTCGCCCTCTGCAGGTATAGGTGGCTGAGGAAGGCCCGCGATCCAGCGCACACGCCCGAGGCGAGCAACCAAGTGCTGGTGGCGGAGAGTAGGCTCGCCGAGTGGGGTTGGTCCGCGGACCAATGTCATCCCTGTGTAGTCCACCCCATAGTTGCGGGCCAAGGCGGTGATCACCGGGCCACAAACGAGGCTGCGAGTCGTGCTGATGGCTGCCTTAGTGAACGTCCGGGAAAGCACAGAGCCCAGCTGGATGGTGTCCTCAGAACGACCAATCTCATGCAACAACCAGAGAGTCCGGAGTGTGACCCGGTTGGACGAGCCCTGGCTGGGTGTGTAAGAAGTGCACATCAGGTGGTTGAGGATCCGCCACTCCGGACGGAGGAGAGCAGCCCGCGTCTGGCTGGCCACTTACTCTTCATCCACACTGTCCGGCAGGCAAATGCTCTGAAAGTACGCCTGGGAAGCGAAGTCCGTGGGATTAGAGAGATCCAAGCGGAGAGGGGGCCCGCCGCTGCCCGGGAATTGAGACGAAGTGCATTGGCGAACTCCCAGTAACTGAGGGAGTGCTCCACCCCGCCGAGGGTGAACTCAACTGCATCAGCATGGTCGGAGTTCCCCTTCGAGTTATGGTGGAAGGTGGCGTAGAACTCCCAGACTAGCTCCTTGTAGGTCGGCTCGGCGAGGGTGAGAAGCCGCCGCCAAGCAGGGGAGCGGACCGCGGCCTCCATCTGTGGCCTGGCATGAAGCTCCTCGAACATCTCCCAATCGAGGTGAAAGTGCTCGGCGATGCTGCGGTCACGGAGGTTCCGCAGCTTATGGCGCTGGACGATGTTCATCTAGTCGAGATAAACCTCCATGATCCTGCAAAACACAATGAAGGACAAAGTGTACACAAGCAAACGGGGTCAATGTTAGGCCAAAACCACACCGGGAGCCCTCATATCGAAAGATATGGACAGTGGACTAGACTCCCGGCGACACAAACATACCCATCATACGAGATTTACACAGCAAAATACACCGGGGATCCTCAAATCGAGCGATTCGGACAGTGGACTCGGCCCCCGGTGAAACAAGCATACCACAACTGTCCTAAATAGCACCAATCGAGGCATCACAGAAAAAGCACATATCACGCAGACCATTCAACATGCAATCAGCCCAATCATCCCCCAAACCCAAAATATTCCCAAACCATGCATTCCACAATCAAAAGTTCTTCACCTAACTCTAGGTATCGATTCTCCATAAATATAGGAAAAGACAAGGAGAACACACCTGGAGACGCAAGAAGAGACCACGAGAGAGGTGAAGAAAGTGGAAAGAAGCACCCAAAGTCGCCGGAAAACACACCGGAGACTCGCCTGAAAAACTCACTGCCGGCGACCCAACCTCAGCCAAACCAGCCCAAATCTTTAGAGAATGTGCTCCTCGACGCCAGGAGCGTGGGGGCGCTCGCGGTTTGTGATTTGGAGGTCGGGAGAGGAAGTTATGGCCGGAAAATCGAAGGAGAAGGTGAAAGGGGCGATTTTCCGGCGAGAGGGGGCTGAGGAATTTGGAAAAAAAACTGATCTGAAGGGGTTTGGGGCGGAAAAATTGATTTTATAGGGCGGGGGGCGAAACACGGGCGGGGCAGAACACGGCCGTGTTCTGCCTGCTCCGCGCCCGTGTTTTCACTGCCGAGGGCGAATCGCTCAGCTATTAAAACACGGGCGGGCTCTGGTCAAAACACGGCCGTGTTTTCAGAGCCCAGTGCCCGTGCTTTTTATGCCGAGAGCAAAAAGCAAAACACGGGCGGGACAGGGCAAAACACGGCCGTGTTTTGGCCCCCTGCTGCCCGTGTTTTTACTGCCGAGCCTAAAATGCCTTTTTTTCCATTTTCAATCTCAAACCACCAAGACTCATTCGTGCCCCGGCTCTAAAATTTACCCAATCACACATCAAAAAGAACCGCCCGAGGCACGAAAAACTTTCTAGACTAACTCCAGACAGACACAAAGACTCAAAAACCGACAAAGATGAAATAAATAAATAAAAACAAAGGTAGAAATGCAAACCGTGGTGGGGTTGTCTCCCCACAAGCGCTTCTTTACCGTCTTTTAGCTGGACGCCAGTAGAGGAACTAAGGGTCCTCGAGCTTGATCAGCAGCTCTGCGCGCTTGACAGCACCTCCCAAATACAACTTTAGGAGGTGGCCATTCACCTTGAATGGCTTGGTTTGAGCATTGCTGATCTCCACCGCACCGTGCGGGAAAACTTGGGTGACCGTGAAGGGTCCCGACCACCTCGAACGGAGCTTGCCCGGAAAGAGTTTCAGGCGTGCATTGAAGAGTAGAACACGATCGCCTACCTGAAACTCCTTCGGGCCTCTTAACCTTGCGTCGTGGAGACGCTTGGTGCGCTCTTTGTAGAGCAGGGTGTTCTCGTAGGCGTGGTAACGCGACTCCTCCAACTCCAGCAGCTGCAACTTACGTTATGTACCTGCAACACTCAAATCCAGGTTTAGCAGCTTAATAGCCCAGAAGGCCTTGTGCTCTAGCTCTACCGGCAAATGGCACGCCTTCCCATAGACAAGCCTATAGGGAGAAGTGCTAATCGGATTTTTATAGGCAGTCCTATACGCCTAAAGAGCATCATCGAGCTTGGTGGACCAATCCTTGCGGGACTGATCCACCGTCTTTTCAATAATTCATTTTAGCTCCCGGTTCGTCTGCTCGGCCTGCCCATTTGACTGGGGATGGTAGGCCACCGACACCTGATGCTTAACACCATAGCGAGAGAGGAGTTTAGTGAATTGCCCTTGAAAATGGGTTCCTCTATCACTAATGATGGCGCGGGGTGTCCCGAACCGGGAGAACAACTGCTTCAGAAATGAGCAGACCCGTCTTGCATCATTGGTGGGCATGGCTTGAGCTTCTACCCACCTCGAGACGTAGTCTACTGCAACCAATATGTACAGATTGCCAAAAGATGGAGGGAATGGGCCCATGAAATCGATACCCCAAACATCAAAAATTTCACAAATAATAGAGATATGTTGGGGCATCTCATCCCGGGAAGAAATGTTACCTGACCTTTGGCAGCGATCGCACTGGCGTGGGAAGGACTCTGCATCCTTGAAGAGCGAGGGCCAATAGAAGCCCGACTGTAGCACCTTCCGCGCCGTGCGGTTACCTCCATGGTGACCTCCAGTAGGTCCCTCGTGGCATTGAGACAGGATGTCTCCCATCTCGTGCTCCATGACACAGCGCCGGATCACGCCGTCTGCTCCGATTCTGAAGAGGTAAGGATCCTCCCAGAAGTAATGCTTCAGATCGGAGAAGAACTTGCGCTTTGCATGAGTAGCCATCCCCTTGGGTAACTGCTTGCCCACCATATTATTGGCAAAGTCAGAATACCACGGGGTCACACTGTCCACCAGTGTCATCGCCAGCAATCGCTCACCCGGGAAGGAGTCATCGATCTCTTCCACGAAGTTGTCCACCGGAGGGGCTTCCAACCGTGAAAGATGATCTGCAGCAACATTCTCGGCTCCTTTCTTGTCCCGGATCTCTATGTCGAATTCCTGCAGAAGCAGGATCCAGCGGATGAGCCGAGGCTTTGCATCAGCCTTGCTCATCAAGTAGCGAATCGTCGAGTGATCTGTGTAGACCACCACATGTGAGAGCACCAGATATGGGCGGAACTTGTCAAATGCATACACCACAGCGAGGAGCTCCTTCTCAGTGGTGGTGTAGTTCTCCTGTGTATCGTTCAAAGTCTTCGACGCGTAGTAGATGGGCTGGAAGTGCTTCTCGCGTCTCTGACCCAGAACTGCTCCGACTGCATAGTCACTCGCATCGCACATCAGCTCAAAAGGGAGAGACCAGTGAGGAGTTACCATGATAGGGGCATGGGTCAGCTTCTCCTTCAGAGTCTCAAATGCAGTTGTGCACTCGGGAGTGAACTGGAATGGTGCATCCTTCTCTAGCAGCTTGGTCAAAGGCAGGGCAATCTTCGAGAAATCTTTGATGAAGCGCCGGTAGAAGCCTGCATGACCTAGAAAGCTGCGAATCCCCTTCACAGAAACGGGTGGAGGTAGCTTACTGATCGTCTCAATCTACGCGCGATCCACCTCAATCCCCTGCTTGGAGATCTTGTGCCCGAGCACAATCCCCTCACGGACCATAAAATGGCACTTCTCCCAGCTGAGTGCCAGATTCGTCTCTTCACACCTCTTCAGAACGAGTTCCAGGTTATGGAGACAATGAGAGAAGGAGTCTCCATAAACCGAGAAGTCATCCATGAAGACTTCCATGATCTCCCCGACCAGTCTGTCGAAGATAGCCATCATGCATCTCTGGAAGGTCGCCGGTGTATTACACAGCCCGAATGGAATCCTCCGGTAAGCAAAAGTGCCGAAGGGGAAAGTGAATGTGGTCTTCGCCTGATCCTCTGGTGCAATAGGGATCTAGAAATAACCAGACATGCCATCCAGGAAGCAGTAAAACTCATGCCCAGCCAACCTCTCTAGCATCTGATCAATGAAAGGCAGGGGAAAATGATCTTTCCTGGTTGCGTCGTTCAGGCGCCGGTAATCGATGCAGACTCTCCAGCCGGTCACGGTCCGCATCGGGATCAACTCCTTCTTCTCATTCGGGACCACAGTCATCCCGCCTTTCTTCGGGACCACCTGAGTGGGGCTGACCCACTTGCTATCAGATATAGCAAAGATGATCCCTGCATCCATGAGCTTCACAATCTCTGCCCGGACCACTGCCTCCAAGTTAGGAGACAATCTCCTCTATGGCTGCCTGACTGGCTTAACCTCATCCTCCATCAAAATTCTGTGGGAGCAGAAGGATGGGCTAATGCCTCTGATGTCTGTGATCTTCCATGCCATGGCCCAAGCATACTTCTGCAGCAAAGCCACCAGCTTGCTCTTCTGCTTGGGTGTCAGATCCGAGCTAATAATAACCGGGAGCTTATTCCCCTCCCGGAGAAATGCATACTCCAGGTGAGATGGGAGGGGCTTAAGCTCCAACTCTGGTGGCTCCTCCAATGATGTAGCGAGCCGGGGCGAGATGGGGATCGGCTTGAATGGTATCTCTCGCCCCTCGATCATGGCCTCGTCCAGCTCTGCCAGCTGCTCCTCCAGCTGCACATCCTGTGATGCCTGTTTCCCTAGCAAAAGACAACGCTCAAGGAAATCATCAGTACCCGCACTGGTGATGGCGAGTGCGGTCTCAAAATCAGCAACAACATCACAGTAATCTAGATCATCATGGAACTGGGGGTGTTTCATATTATCAGAAACAGAGAAGGTGATTTGTTCACCCCCAGCTCTCAAAATCAGTTTTCCATCATTAACATCAATAAGCGCCTTGGCAGTGGCGAGAAAAGGTCTACCCAGTATCAATGGCACATCAACATCCTCATTTATGTCCAAAATCACAAAATCAACAGGATATGAAAATGGCCCTACTGCGACTATCAAGTCCTCTGCTATACCCCTAGGATGCACAATGGATCTATCAGCAAGTTGAATGCTCATCCTAGTATCACTCGGTTCACCTAGGCCTAGCTTTTTAAACAATTTATAAGGCATGACATTTATGCTAGCGCCTAAATCCGCCAAGGACTTCCCTATATGCAAACTACCAATCATGCAAGGGATAGTAAAACTCCCTGGATCTTTTCGCTTCTCTGGTAGTTTGTTCTGCAGGATGGCAGAACACTCTTCGTTGAGCATCACCGTTGACAGCTCCCCAAGCTTCCTCTTGTTGGTGAGGAGATCCTTCATGAACTTGGCATACTTGGGCATCTTCGATAATGCCTCTACGAAGGGCATGCTAATGTTTACCTGCTTCAGCATTGCCATGAATTTGGCAAACTCAGTCTCCAGTCGGTCCTTGTGCAACCAAGTAGGAAAGGGAAGCTGTGGTACATACTCCTTCACCACTGGTTGCGGTTCAGGAGCAGGCACCTCAACCTCCTTCTCCATTTCTTCCTGATTAGCTGGAAGTGCTGAAGCAGGGGTCTCTCTCTCCTCTGCCCAAACAGGTGGATCGGCAGTCACCTTGCCACTCCGGGTTGTGATGGCACTGCAGTTGGCATTCGGATCCTGCGGGTGAGGAATGGTCTGACCAGGCAAGGTACCAGGAGTCCTCTGAGCTACAGCCTGGGCAACACTCCCAAGCTGGGTCTGTATATCTCGCAGCACAGCCTGTGTATTTCTCTGACCAGCTTCTAGCTCCAAGAATTTGCCTGAAGCTTTCTCCATGTATTGCTCGATGTTATTGAACTTGTTCGCACTGGAGGTGGCCAGAGAACCCACCAAATCTCTCAATTCTGCCATCAGGTCACTCTGTACTAGAGCTGCAGGTGCTGCCCCTGTCTGCTGAAATGGTCGCACCTGTGACTGAGGTGGAACTGGCCCCTGTCTGGGCTGGTAGAGTGGCTGTTGTGGCTGCTGAAATTGCCCCTGTCTGGGCTAGTATGGAGGCCTCTGGAAGCCAGGTGGTCCCTGGGGAGCTGGTGGTTTGGGATTTGCCCCAGGCCAAGAAAAGTTAGGATGCTGGCGCCACCCCTCGTTATAAGTGTTGCTGTAGGGGTCGAAGCGCCTGGCATTACTGATAAAGTCCACCTGCTCCTGGGTAGTAGAAGATTCCCTCATCGCTTGACAGTCCTCTACGGTGTGATGGGAGCTCTCACATCACTGGAAGTGCATCGCCTGCGGCTGTCCTGTAACTGCAATCAAACCAGAACGATCGATAGCTGAGACCAGCTTCGATACCACCTGTACCAAATCAGATGACTGGGTGCCCACAGCATGCACACCCCGTCCTGGTGCTCGTCTCGATCTCCTGGCAGTGCCCCAATCGTACCCGTTCTCCGCCATCTCCTCAAAGAGTTGATTCAGCTGTGGCGGTGTTTTGTTCAGCATGTTCCCGCCACAAACCGAATCAATCAGCTGCTTGTCCTCCGGGAAGAGGGCGTGATAGAAGGTGCCCACCTTGAACGCATCATTGAAACCATGATTGGGACACCTGACGAAAAGACTGGTGTATCTCTCCCAAGCATCCCTGATGGTCTCATCCTCATCCTGAGCAAAATGGGTAATTTGCTTCTGCAGGTCAGCTGTCTTGAATGGAGGATGGTAGCGGGTGAGGAACTTGTCCGCCAGGTTGGCGAACGTGGTGATAGAGCCCGGAGGTCGAGTATCTAGCCACTCCTTGGCTTGCCCCTCCAGGGTGAATGGGAAGTATCTCAGCCGGATGGCATCTGCTGGGACCCCATTGATCTTGATTCCATCAATGAGCTCATGGAATCGCCTGAGATGTGATCGGGGGCACTCCCCCTCTTTGCCACGGAACATCACCGAACCGCGCAGCATGGTGATTACTGAGGTGCTCACCTCAAAATTATTGGCTGGGACATGAGGGTGTTGAATGGGTGACCTCATGTCTGCAGCCTTGGCGGTCCAGTAATGTCCCATGGTCTGCTCCTCGGGATCAACCACAGCATGGCCCTGTGGATCAGCCATCTCCTCTTCTTCAGTGATTTGTAGCTGTGCTAGCGCCTCCTCCGCAGCCAGTCGCGCCTTTAGAGCCCGCTTGAAGTTTCTGCAGGTTCGTTCAAGCTCATGGTCTAGTGGTAGTAGATCTCCCGACTGGCTACGGGTCATGCACTACCTGCACACAATCAGCAGAAGCAACCCGTGAAGGCACACAGGTGGAAGAGATAAAATGCAGTAAATAAAAAGCTAGAGTAACAAATTCTCACGTTTCCCCAATAACCTAGAGGGCCCCCCGGCAACGGCGCCAAAAACTTGATGCCCTAAAACACAACACCAATCTGTGACCAAGTGTAATCGCAGACCGGGAATGCAGTAAAGTGACAAGTGATATTATCAACCCGGGGTCTAGATCTACTGCTTACTCAGTGATTATCTATTATCTAGCCAACTAAAGTAAGTGATTGTTGTTTTAAAAGCAAAAGCAGAAAGAAAGCAGGAATTGGTGCGGTTTTCTCAAGAAGGTAAGAGTCACTCGGGAATGAGTCCCCCTAGCTCCTTAGTTAGGTTTCAATTGTATTTCCCTGGGTTGATTTACTGTTGATTAGACTGCGGAAGATCCGACAGTAGCTTGGAATCTCTTAAGCTGACCAAGCCCTCTCAGTCTAACTACCCGGCAGACGACTAGTCTTCACCGGGATAGAAAGCTGAAGCAGTAAGAACAGAACTCCACTACTGGAATTGGATTCCAGTACAAAGCAGTAAACTGGCTAACTCTCGTATAGCCAATCTCCTACTACCGAATGATGAGACTCTAGCAACCTAATCAGATTCTATCTATCTCAGATTGCAGCAGGAATCAGGAAAAGTTGATCAGACTTCAATTGACTCAATAAACATGCATCATTCAATTAAAATCAAACAGTAATATCATCCCAAGTCATTACAATCAATCCCTAACACATAGAACTAGGGTTCTTCATCCCCAAGTGAGAGAGGGGTTCTACTCCATAGAGAGAGAGAGAGAGGAAAACAAGATACAAAGCAGTCATACTCATAATTATGGGAAGAATCTGCTCTGGGATGATGATTTCCACTCCTATGACGATCTCCAAGCTTGATTTGATGAAACCCAGCTCCAAGATAGCTTCTAGGATGTGTTCTTCGTCCTTTCTCTCTCTAGGGCTCTGTTTTTGCTCAAGAAATCCGATTCTCCTTCCTTGGCTTGAATCTGCCTTAAAAAAGGGCATCAGTGGCCAAAGCACGGTCGAGGGCACGGCCGTGTAATGGCTCTGCCCGCCCGTGCTTTGGCTAGGGTTAATTACACGGCCACTATGTTAGAAGAAACACGACCGTGCTTTTGGGAGGACACGGTTGTGCTTTGTCTCGGCCCTGCCCGTGCAATCAGCTCATGTTTGCCAAACTCGAATTAGCTCTCGGCAGTAAAAGCACGGTCACAGAACACGACCGTGTTCTGTTTTAGGTGTGCCCGTGTTTTGGCCCCAGCTCGACGAAATGACTTCCGAATGTCCCGAAACTCGTGCTTAGCCTTTCCTTTGATGCCTGGGACCTGAAATATGACAAAATAGCACAACCCGGCGTAAAATAGGCCAAAAATACACGACTATGCCCCTCAAACGGATAAGAACTAGGGGCGCAAATATGTGCAATTACATCGTTATCAGCCACAAACCAGACCACAAACTATACGGTCCGGTCCAGACCACGCCTGTGCGGTTTGGTTCGGTTTGGTCTGGTTCAGATAGACCACACTCAACGAAAATGAATAATTGGTTTAGTCAATCACACAAAAAATTGAACTAATAACCAAGAAAAATAATTGTTATTTGCCTCAACACATTAATCCTAACATGCATGAATAATTTTGATACCTAAATCTTAGTACATAACAAATATACAAAGGAAAAGCATCCCAACTTGCACCATAACGTCATAAACATTAACATAATATCATATGGAGACACAATTATCTCTACTCACTGGTTAAATGTGTTGTGAATCAAGGAGGGACAAGATTCACAAAACTAAGGTTGAGACTTGGGTGTCGTTGTGGGAGTTGGGAAAGTGGTCGAATGGGCTGTTAACATGTATTGACAAGTCAGTTGTGTCCACGGTTTGGTCCGGTAAACCACAGTCTAGACCAGACCAGACCAAGAAATCATAACATAAAATAATACAGACCATGGACTAGACCAGACCATACTTAACGGTCTACGGTCCGGACCAAACTGTGTGGTACAATGTGGCCCACGGTTTTTCTAACGGTCTGGTCTATTTTCCAGCCCTAACCTACCATCCTATACACATTGGTAACAAATGGAGCAGCACAGAGTGATCCCATATGACACGAGCAACTATGCAATCAAGGAACATATGCTCCATAGTTTCATATGGTGTATAGGGTGTAATTATCTATGTTTCAATCAATATATGATTATCTTTTAAAAAAAACACATTGATAAAAGATGAAAACAAATGAAGCACCCGACCCTTCCTCTAAACATAAGTATTTGGGATGATCTTGGTTGATGGGGTCTTCCCTTGCTCCAAAGTTAGCACATCACCATCCTTACTCCTTGCTAGTACACGTGTATAGAGAAGGTCAAGGTTCAATTATGTTTATTTGTAATTATCTCACACAACTTACTTCCTTTTGCTCATTCACCAACACGTGCAAAAGAGGTAAAAGTGATGGAGTTTACTTGTCAATCCATCTGACCATTTGGGGTTAATGACATAAATATTGTTTTTTTTTAATTTACCACTAATATAGCCAATTAAAAAGTATTGACACATATATTGTGTTTTTTAGTAAGGTTTGGGGCGGGATCACCAGAGACTCAGGCGGGGCTGATGTTTTACCTAGTTCTGGGCGCTGGCGCCCCAGTCTCAAGCGACCCCGCCTCAGTTATTTTTTGACTCAGTCCTAGGCGCTGGCGCCCGAGTCTCCAGCGGCAGCGCCTCACCCTTCTTTTTTTTAAAATACCGAACCTCGGGCACCTCCCACCTTATCTCCTCTTCTTCTTCCTTCCTCTTCTTCACTCCTCCACACCACACACACCACCCCCCCACCCCCCGAACCAGAGAGACTTTTCCAGCCTCCCGCCGCAAGCGTTGCCGCCCAGGACTGAGGCGCCGTCGCTGCCGAGTGGAGCGCCGCCGCCAAAGATTGAAGAGCCGCCGCCGAAGACTGAAGCGCCGCCGCCGGAGACTGAAGCGCCGCCGCTGCTGACAGAAGCGCTACCGCCCGAGATGTCCTCCGACGAAGAACCAGTCGCCGCCGGCAGAGGCAGAGGGAGAGGCCGGCGAGGTCGTGGTGGAGTCGGCGGCCGTTTGCGCGGTGAGACTCTCGTCGGCGGCTTGATTTTTTTTTAATGTTTTGTGTTTTTTTTAATGTTTTGTTGCTTTGTTTTTGCAGTTCCTAGGCTTATGGATCCTTATTCGATGAGATTACCGCCGACGACAATTGATCCAAGTCCGGTCGATCCGACACTTCTTTGGGGACATGGCCAACATCGTATCGACTCTGTTTGGACAAACGAGGTAAGTATTTGATAATTATTCATGTAAAGTTAATTAGATTATTTTAGTTGGTGAACTAAAATTTTAGGTGAAATTAGTATAATTTGAAATTAGTATAATTTTATGTTAGATAAGACATATTAGAATTTATTAGGTGAAATTAGAATTATTACCAATGAAAATGAATTAATATAAGTTTTGTGCACTATAGGCTGGTGATCGATCTTACCATGTTCGAGGTACGACCATTTTAGTACCTTACCATGAGCTTTATCGGCCATATCTCGAAGAGGCAGGCTTGTTAAGTGTCGTGCCCCTAGTCCCTATGAACCCCGATGCGAGTTTGATTACTGCGCTCGTAGAGCGGTGGCGACCCGAGACGTCGACCTTCCATCTACCGTGTGGTGAGATCACGATCACGTTAGAGGACGTTGTTACATAGTCCGGTCTGGCGATCGACGGTGATGCCGTCGTAGTTGATATACCGGATGAGGAGTGGTCGGCGATCTGTTTGTGACTGTTATGACGGGTTCCGGCTGATCTTGTAGGCGGTGTCGCTGTTGTTAGGATTGTTTGGCTGAGGGTTGAATTCAATCATCTGCCGGAAAATGCATCACAGGAGGTTATAGAGCAGTTTGCACGATCTTATGCTCTATCTCTGATCGGAGGTGTACTTTTCCCGGATCGGTCTGGAGGTACGGTGCACCTACAGTACCTACTTCTGATTGAGGATTGGCAGAGAGCTGGACGGTTCGCCTGGGGAGCTGCTGTTTTATCCTACCTGTACCGTGAGATGGGTAAGTCGACTTTGCACATTACGCATACCGGCACTTCTCTTAGCGGTGACCTTGGTGGATGGGTCGCCCTACTGCAGTTCTGGGAGTGGGAGCGATTCCCACATCTGGCACCTCGAGATTCAGAGACGAGAGCACAGGCCACCGAGGATGCATCCCCACGTGGTCTTCGATGGCTTTCGGCCAACAGTCGTCAGTATGGTGACCAGCTATTCCAGTACAAGCTGTGGTTTGACGCGATGGACACCGTAGTGGTTAGTATATAACATTTCATTTTATAGAATAGTTTTCATTTGTTTTATTTTTTTAGATTTAGGGATAATAACGTTATTTTTTTTTTAATGTAGTAGCAACCTTACCTTGAGAGAGCACTTCATCTCAGAGGTAGTGTGATACAGTCTGAGACATTTTCGAGCAGTAGTGCCACTTATCTGCTTTTCATCGGTGATGTGGCATCATCCAGACCGCGTGCTCCGGCAGTTTGGCATGAGGCAGCATGAGCCTCATCCGCCACATCCTGAGGCTGAGGTTAGGTTTTTTCTTCGCCAGGCTACTCGTGGGGCATCGCGTGGGCATCAGTTGGTACAGCCTCCAGAGAGTCGCTTGCTTTATGGAACCGTCGACACGAGTTTGTAGAGACGGCTCCATACACTGATGAGGAGTTAGCCTATCACTCGGAGCATATGGAGTGGTATAGAGATGTCACCAGACGTTCCGGCACACGGAGAGGAGCTGGAGCAGAGGCATTGGTTAGTTATTTGATTTGTTTGCTTAATTTGTTTTTAACTGTGTGAAATATCTGACATTTTGTTGGTGTTTTTTAGTACGACACTA